CCATTAGTCAGCTACAAATAAGCCTGTTCCAGACCGCTGCACCCTCTCTGTCATCAGATCGATTTTACATTTCAGAAGCACTTTTTGAAATTAAATTGGATAATAGTTTGGGACCTCGGACTGGGAATCACGTACGCTGCGCTCTGTGTCTGACTCTAATCCCGGAGTTAGCCGTTTGTGTCATCCATCTTCCACGGCTGGAAACTCCTGGACGAGAAAAACCAGCCCCTGAGCACACGCTGAGAGGTGACCTATTAGTCCAACAAATGAGCCAACACACTCCAGCTTTGTCTCTTGTGCCTCGGAGATGATAAGATTGGTGTATCATTTGTTCATTTGTTTTTCAATATAAAAACAAAAATAAGAAAAGCCAAAGCCAAAATGAAAAAACGGATAATGATTTGTTTTTTCAGTTTTTGATTTTGTGTTTAAATGAATAATGGAAAAAAACGTATAACGGCCGCTTCCCGTTTCCGTGACGTAAACTGCGATGCTGGACATTTGAGCCATATACGGACTGAACCAGGACTAAACCAGGACTAAACCAGGACTAAACCAGGACTAAACCAGGACTAAACCAGTTTCAGTCCTAGTCTGGTCCCAGTCTCATTCCTGGTCTCAATCATGATCTGGTCCCGGTCTCAGTCCCAGTCTGGTCCTGGTCTGGTCCCGGTCTCAGTGCTGGTCTCAGTCCTGGTCTGGTCTCGGTCTCAGTCCTGGTCTGGTCCCAGTCTCAGTCCTGGTCTCAGTCCTGGTCTGGTCCCGGTCTCTGTCCTGGTCTCAGTCCCGGTCTGGTCTTGGTCTCTGTCCCAGTCTGGTCCTGGTCTCTGTCCTGGTCTCAGTCCCGGCCTGGTTCTGTCTCAGTCCCGGTCTCAGTCCCGGCCTGGTCCTGTCTCAGTCCCGGTCTCAGTCCCGGCCTGGTTCTGTCTCAGTCCCGGTCTCAGTCCCGGCCTGGTCCTGTCTCAGTCCCGGTCTCAGTCCTGGCTCTGGTTTTAGTCTCGGTCCCGGTCTGGTCCTGGTCTCTGTCCTGGTCTCAGTCCTGGTCTAGTCCTGGTCTCAGTACTGATCACACAACAGTCTACCTATCCCGACACTCAGTCCTGGTTTAGTCCTGGCTTAGTCCTAGTTCAGTCCGCATGCTGCGCAAAAGTCCAGCATCGCAGTTTAAGCCGGAAACGGGAAACGACCATTATTCGTTTGTTTCATTAATAATTTAAACAAAATCGAAAAATGAAAAAATGAATCGTTATCAGTTTTTTAATTTTGGTTTTGGAGACAAATAATGAAGAAAATAGCTGTTTCTTTCGTTTTCTTATTTTTGGTTTTATCTTGGAAAAACGAATGAACGAATGATACACGGATTGGGAACACTGGCTTTCACTGCAAATTCATCACTCAGATATTATTCAAGATTTTTTTCAAATACTGGTAGCGGCTGGTCTGTTATGGAAAGAATGTAAAAAATGTTGCAATTTTTTTCATAAATTCACATGTGTCATTGTTAGTGTGTTATTTGTGCATCAGATGTGTCAGTTTAAATAGACGAGTGAGGAAGCGTGGTATTACATGTTGGCACTGATTCTGGAAAATTTGGTGGATCGGATGTTGACTCTCTGATATCGTTTCAGCCATTATCCTGCTTGGGCCTTTAATTGGATGTAATAAGATTATACACAGGCTGATTTTGGCCTTGAACGCCTCATAATGTTTGAATTTGTATTCATATGACGCTGTTCAGTTGATATTTGAAGGATGAATGACAGTTTCATAACACAGTTGGAACTCTTGTGTCATAACTTAACTGTGTTTTTTGTTTTGTTTTTTCCGTGTTTATTTATTGAGACCAAGCAGTGTGTAACAAAAGGTACAATAAGAGCCATTTTCCTTCCTCACTAGTATCGTTTAATATCGAGTTTTGGACAGTATTAAGGTTAAATGCTTCAATATCGTTATCGGGATTGAAAAAACTGGATCGGTGCATCTCTTGGAAGAGCATTAAACTGGGGTCACGCAATCAAATTTTGACACAAAAAAGAGCAAGAGCATTAACAGACTGAAATATGAACTAATAAACTAATACAAATAATGAATTTCAGAACCTGTTTTTAAAGCAAACTATGAGTATATTTTGATTTTTCCATAAAAACTGAATATTTTATGTTATTGGTTTTCTTTTTTTCAGACCAAAAGTTTGTTTTCATACCTGACAGCTTCAAAAAGAAAAGGTTTTGTTCTTTTCAGAGGACATAGTATCTAAATAATTGCACTAATTAATATGATTTGATAAAACCCAGACAATACATTTTATAACTACACTGCAAAAAGCAAGATCTAGGTACGTTAAAATGACATTACTCAGTTTGAGAAGATTCAACTTGACAAGTAAAATTATCTATGAATGGAACAAGTGTGTTTTTCTTCATCCAAGCAATATTAGATTTGGTTTCCTATTTTAAGTGTTAAATTGTTGCTTTTCTTAAGTGTATCCAGATGTATTTTCATATTTTAGCTACAAAAATAGATCATTTTACTTGTCAAGTTGAAATGTATTCAAATCACAATAAACTTTCTTAAATCTAGCCAGGTTAAGATCACTTGAATTGAGTTTTTTTACAGTTTATATTTAAAACATGGTGAACATTTGGCTACCACAGCTTACTTGAATGTGAAGGCCTTGCTCATTTGTTTATCTACATAGGCAAATATCGGGTCTTGGCCACAACTGCAAATCTGTGCCTTTTCATTCATATAGTCAAAGTAGCTAAAGCATGATAATTGTTTTGAATTTATTCTGCTGACATGTGTGCATTTTTTTTTTTGCCTTGAATCCCCCTTTACACAGTTTTATGCAAGCTGTTTAATAGTCTTTTTTTTTCTTTTTGGGTGTGGTGAATGATCCTACAGCAAAAATAGCCAAATGTGAGCAAACTGTGGTGTTAGAGCCCGGAGCAGATGCTGATAAAGGAAGTGGAAAAATCAGCCTAATGCAAAAGTTGAGCAACATGTTTTATTTTCAGAAGGGGACAGCACACGGGTCAGATCAGTTTCCAAAATGGTCTTATGAAGAAATAAAACAAAATGGATGACAAATTGGTCTTTTTGTGTGTTTTGATCCAGGGATATTTTTCTAAACCAATTCCTCCCCTTTAGAAACTCATAATATTCTTCCAGACCAATAATAAATATGGTCCAGTTTACATCAGCGGGTTGAGTTTTGCACCTCTTGACCCTAAGGTGGCCAGTTTGACTCCCATTACTTCACTCGTCTTTTCTGAGTGTGATTGTGGGCTTGGTCGTAGTCGCAGCAGTTAGAGGCACAGAATCCCTCCCATATTTCTGTCAGTTTGACCCAGGGCAACTATGGCTACAGACAAAAACACAACTAACTGTAAAAGTATGTGAATTCCCATTTGAACAGCACTTTGGGTGTACTGAAAATGAAATAATTTGAAGCCATTAATACATCAAATGTGCATGAATACTGTAACTTAATAGGCCCAGATTCTGTTCCGTCTTGTAGTTGCCCCGTTTATGTGAGAGCTTTCATTCCGATTAAAAATAATTTAATTTGGAATAAAAATTAGTTCCGCTTTAAAAAGACAATGTAAACACTTAACTCCTAATGATTCTTCGGATTTAAACTTATACTGAAATAATGTTAAATCCGAATTAAGTAGGTGGTTTATTCCGATTTTAAAGCCAAAATTAATTTATTAAGCGATCATGTAAACGTTTATTCCTCAAAAGCGCAAAACCCGTTTGGTTTGTTATGTCATGTTCTGAGCGGTCCGTCCTCTGCACACTTGGTTCTTCCTGGGGAAAGCGATTTTTAGACCAGAGCACCGAACACCACTCCTCGCTCCAGCTCATCTGGGCCTGACCTGAACCGGAGCTGCTCCTGCTGGTTCAGGAGTCTGGGTTTGGACCGCTGTTCCCTCACCCATACAAACTGGGGAACAGCATCTCCACATGTAACGACAAACCGAGATGACAAAAAAGCTGGTAGCAGCTGAAGTGCGTGTTTTCGTCCGATGTCCCTGTCCAATCAGAACCCTTCCCCACTCCCAGATGTTGAGCGGAATGAAATAAAGGCAATGTAATGTGTTTTCCATGTAAACGTTAATTCGGAATTATTATTTCCATGTACACTTGAAGCTATAACTTCATAACTGAATTCCGAACTATTTAATTCTGAATAATTAAAAAACATAATGTAAACGTGGCTAATGTCATGTCGACTCCATACACCTTCATAGAGTATAATAGAATCATTTGGATCATTTCAGCCCTGGAATTGCCAATCTCTACTGAACTAAAGGTAAAAGTTATCTGTTAACTTGAAAACTACCCCTTCATGACATCACAAGGTGGAAAAAAAGTATTTTAAGCTTTGGAGATGTAGATAGATTCACTCAAACTTGTGTGAACGAAACAAAACACAACTCCTGATATGTTTTTGGTGAGGTATCAGCTTTCTAACATGACTAAAAGCTCATAAGAGTCAATTTTTCTCTCAAATTGTCAATTCGTTTACATATCTTAACTTTAATTGGTTTATTGTGTACCCAAAGCATGAGATATCCTCTATTAAGTATTATTTTTCCAGTTTCTCTCCTTTCAGCTTGCTGGTAGATTCCATTTGATGCTAGTTTTATTACAACATGGTGCCACTTGTCATGTGGTTCTCAAACGTCTTATATCTCTCTCCCTCAGCACACTGCTCTTTAATAACTTTGAGTCCTCTGCAGCACTTCACATGACAGATATTTTGGTCTTTTTCTAATTAGTGGCCTCCCTGCCCAACATATATTCTCGGTTATATTCTTGGCACATGTGGTAGGTTTCAAGTTGAACAGACAGGGCAGTCCTGTAGCACGCCTAGTCTTTTCCGTGGTCACTTGTTTGTATTGTAAATGAGTGGATGCTGTCAGGTTGAATCAGTCAATCTGGTCAATGTTATCAGGTAAATGTCCTTAACTTTGTCCTTGTGTCTCCTGCAGAATTCCATGAATCTTCCTCCGGACAAAGCCAGGCTCCTTCGGCAGTACGACAACGAGAAGAAATGGGAGCTCATCTGTGACCAGGTGGGTTCATGCACATATGGATAACATAACACTGAACTTTACATACACCATTTTATTATTATAGACGCAAAACTGACAATGAGTGTTGAATATACACTGTTTACATAAGGCTCTATTAATACTTATCATTGTCTGAAGCTTTGTTACTCAAGATAGACTTTAATCTGAGTTTTGGTTTGCTGATTTGTGCTGTTAAACAAGTTTCTTACACACATAAAAACAGTCCAAGCTTTCTAGAATTAACCAACAGTTTTTCAGTAAGTCACTCTCACTAGGGTTGGGCAGTATCCAAATTTTTATACCATTAAACCTTCTCATTTCACCAGGGTATACGATATTACCTTGACTAATTCAGAATTATTTTGTAGCTTGTGCGTATACCATTCAGTAACAGAATAGCAAGCATTATATTTGCGTAAAAATATTGAAAAGTATCAACAAAACATGTACAGCATTTACAACTTTTATTAACATTTTTAAAGTGCAAATGTAACAGTCAGTGGAACTTAATTAAATAACAACAAATTGTACGAGGCGAGCTAAAGTGCGCTTCCAGCTTAATCAACACAAATCAATTAGTCTAAATTAAAACACAGCCCTACAGCGTCTTATCAACAATAGTTACAGGCTTATAATAATAAAATCACTAATAATAAAAGAACAGTAAATAACACATGTATCCTGAGACTGCAACGGGTACGGTCAGTTGGTTTATTTACCCGTCATACATATTTTACATACAGCCTCGTCAACATTTGCTGGCTCTCCCCTGTTATTCGGCCTGAAGCCAAAATGCTGCCAAATTTCAGAAGTTCTAGTTTTTTTTTTTGGGGGGGGGCAACTCCCTTGGCCTGACTTGCCGTCTTGTCTTGGTCTCCCTTATGAGCGTCACGTGACAACGGAGCGAAACTAATCAAGCGTCATCTCACCACGCAGTTAAAAGAAACATTATAGACAATATTAGTTTTAAATCGTGATAGCATTAAATTGAAAATACAACTACACATTCATTTGTGCTGAGCAAACAAATTAAGGGATCAATAAATTACAATATTATATTAGGTCTTTATGCGCTGCAGATTTTTTTAATGACAGTAATGAAATTGATACCGTTGCTATGTTTTGATACCTCCTACCTTAATACCGTATTATTGCCCAACCCTCTCTCTCACTCTTTTGTTGAAAATCAAACACCTAAACAGGACCTTAAATGAATATTGATCTCAGGCACCTGAAATTGAGTTTTCAGACAAGATCTAAAAACTTTTTTGGTTGTGTTTTCATTGTGTCACCATCGTATCTGCTGAATATTCCTCCATAGAAAATTAGAACACCTCCAGCGTTGATATCCCAATATTCAGACAATACAAATGAACATACATCTGAACATATCTGAAGTTTTAGTTGTGGTTTAAGTATCATGACATGAAAGTGCACAAATATTACTTTAGACCTGTATTTTGGAGTTTGGAGAATTTGTGGACCCTATTCCGAACAAAAAAGCAGATCAACAGTTGTAGATGTTTTGTTCTGAGATTTCTTTGCTATACAATGACTCACCCACGGTACAATTGACCCCTGCCCTACATCTGAGATTTTCCCATCTGATTATAGAGAACCTATTCTTACAGTACCCACAGACCAAATGTGGAAGTATCTGGTTTCAATTTAACAAAGTTTATTCCAGATCAGGTCATGTCTTTACTGTAACAGATGTTGTCACTGTATAATCTTTGAATAATGTTGGATCAATAAGAAGAGCCTTTAGGTTTATAATTACATTTTAGTTTATTATCAATATGGCGATAATGGTGCTTAAAATATGTAAAGAGGGAGTATTACGAGAGAGTTTTTTCTTGGCTTTCACCCATGTTGTAAAGTTGTTTCCTTATTAAAAACATGCCTGAAGAGGTTTTAGATGTCATCCATGCATGTTTCAGTAATTAAGCAATCTCTCCTGGGCCCTATTTGAATCCTCCTCACGATTAGCTGTAAAATTCTGTCCAATGCTCAACCCACAAGCCTACACCATCCATCAACACACAAGTATTCTCCATAAATATACTAAAGCACGATACAAAACTTCGAACAACAACTTCACAAGCCTGATGCGATGTGCAGTAGTTTTAGTAGTGGGTTGCACTCTGGTAGTGTTGTGATAGTGCTTTGAAGGAGGAGTGACTTAGCACAAAGAGCAAAGGGAGGAGAGACAATAATAAAAGGTAACATGATGATCTAAATACAGTGAGGAAAGTAAGTATTTGAACACCCTGCTATTTTGCAAGTTCTCCCACTTAGAAATCATGGAGGGGTCTGAAATTTTCATCGTAAGCACAATACTTATGTGCAGCTGTATCATACAAATAAATAGTTAGAAAAATCATACATTGTGATTTCTGGATTTTTCTTTTTAGATTATGTCTCTCACAGTGGACATGCACCTCCATGATTTCTAAGTGGGAGAACTTGCATAATAGCAGAGTGTTCAAACACTTATTTTCCTCACTGTATGTGATGTATTAGCTGTTAATGCACCATAAAAGCAAAATGCCCCCTATTTAAGAATGATTATAATCTGGTAATGTCATGAACAAATAAATACACAATTCAATTAATTAACACGTTATTTTATGTTAGCAAATAATTAAATTCACCACGCCTGTGTTTTCTCTCCAACTGAAAACAATCTGTTCCACCTTGTGATGTCATATGATAACACAGGAAGTGCTCCACTGTGTTTTTAAACTCCGTACCGGGCCCCGGGGTTTCAAAATGGCCACCCATTCAAGTCAATGGGCTGAGCTCAATGGCGCATGATTCCAGATTAGCCTCTGCCTAGGTACTTCCGGTGGATGTGGGCTGATTGAGCATGCTCAGTAGTGCTCTTTTCTTCCACCAATGCACGGAGCACGGTCTTGTGTATCACGTGATCGCTTTGACCAATCAGAGTAAGAGAAGCTAGAGCAGAGCCGGAACTAACAATTATAAAGCATTTTTTAAGACAACTGAGCTGAGAAAAAGTTTATGATCTAAAAATAGGTAAAAATCTGACATTTTTGAAAGTTGTAGGTGTCCTGTCAGCCGAACACAAGACATTTGTGATTACATTGCACTCTGTGAGAAAAATCCTTTCTCAGCCCAGGGGATTTTTTCACTGAAGTTCCAGTGAGTGGCCACTACGTCAACTGGAGGCAACTACAAACCAGCAATACCCTATCCAGTTATTTTAGTAGATCCTTGCTCCATACACCTTCACTGGAATCATTTGGATAATTTCAGCCCTGGAATTTCCTGTCTCCATTGGATTAAATACAAAAGGCAGCCGTTAACTTGAAAACTACTCCCTCATGACATCATAAGGTGGAACAGAGCATTTTGAGCTTTGGAGATGTAGACAAACTAATAATAAAGGATTATTCAAACATATGTGAATGAAACATGGTTTTGAGGAGCTAACAACATTATAACCTGACTTAGAGCTCACAAAAATCAAATTTGAGTAATATGGGACCTTTGAGTTGAGGTTTCTAGAGTGCAAATTTTAGTTTTTTTGCCACTGGAGTCGATGCTTAAGTTACAAATACTTCATACGCTGCGGTCCATCTAACAAAAGGCATGTTTCCTATTGTTACATCATCCGTATTCATTAGGCGCACTCCACCCATGTTTCATAACTCGATCCAACGCTGGAAGTCAGCTGTGTCAGAGCTCCACTAAAACCCCCCAATGTCACCATGGCAACAGTGATGGAGGTTCATGCGGCGGTCAAAACAGGTACAGGTAAAACGAAGCGGACTGTGATGACAACTCCACGCTTTCCAGTTTGAATTAATGACGTTTTTGGAGCAATTATCAAATTTGAAAAGGCAGGGTCACTTCTGAAGATATGCTCCACTTATTTCTGTAATTGAGGTTCAGACAAAGCATTCAAACAAATAAACAACTTTTTAGTTCCATCCCTGTTCACTTCCACTATTTGATCCTCATTAGGGGAGAGCGCTAGCTCCATGGACTATTATTGATATTCATAAAAAATAAGTTTTAATTGCAACAAATTCATTATAATGGGTTTTATTTCTTGTACTTTAGTTGACAATAGTTGTAATGTGTCCTGGTTTAGTCTTACATTTTTGATTCGACATTGAAATAAGGATGGTGATTTACTGTATTTTAAGTAAATCGTATTATTTTTTAAGTAGGTGCTGTTACTTTTGCATAAAAATACTCTACATTGCAATATTGATTTACTCTACACTCTTTGTGATAAACTACCATAGAGTGAGTGCGATGTCACCTATAGTGTTCAGCTCCAATCAGCCAGTCAGAAGTGAAGATGTAGAAGTTATCCCCCCCTTCCCACCTCCACCGCACCACTGTCAGTTAGGAGTGTAAAGGTACATGTATTCGTGCCGAGCTGTTTCAGTACGGGGCATTTGGTTCAGTGCAGAGCTGTGCACAAGTGAGTTCGCACAATTTGTGTGTGTTTACATTTCACCACCACATGTGCAGCTACACAGAAGACTCAGCTCTTCAATATTCACGAAGGAACTCGTCCATCATTGGGGTGTCATTGTTTGCTGGAACTGGAACTGTTACGCCTTACTTTTTGAAAGGTTTTGTTTACTGTAGATTTTAACTTGGTATTACCAAGCAGCACTTTATTTTATTTTTCCGTTTGTATAATGGAAAAATAAAACCAACAAATTGTTGGTTTAATAAAAACACAAATAAACAACAAGCAAATGGTTTCCCATTTTGTTTCCATACTGTACCCAAAATGAACTGAACCGTGACCTCAAAACCAAGGCACGTACCGAACCATGATTTCTATGTTCCGATACACGCCTACTGTCACTTAAGCCTGTTGCTAACACTAGTGGGAGTGACCTCGGCATAAGAGAACAGCTTATTGCTTATGTTTATAGCTTGATTTGCAGACAAAATATGGAAATAAGACCCTCATCATTTAGAGCAGTTTAATACAGATGTTTTTAGACCAA